GAGGCAAAATAACAATAGACCCCTCCAAAATACAAAGGATTAAATATATATATATATATATATATATATATATATATATATATATATATACACACATACACACACACACACATATACATACATACAAACAACTCTATTCCAACATACTGGAGGGAGAGAGAGAAACGTCAATGAGAGAGACACATTGACTGGCTGCATCTGCATTGCCCCTACTGAGGATCAAGCCCACAACACAGGCACGTGCCTTAATGGAGAATTGAATGAGATGATGCATGAGATGATTCTCAACCAATTAAGCCACACTCTTGGTGCATGAGATGATTCTCAACCAATTAAGCCACACTGGTCAGAACCAGAGAGTTTTTGTTTTTTTCCCCCCCATGAAACTGCCTCTTTAGCTCTTTTCTCATAAAACTAGAGGCCTGGCGCACAATATTCATGCACTTGGGGCAGGGGTGGAGGGTCCCGTAGCCTGTTCTGTGGTTCCTCACAGTTTGGGAACCCTTTGGGCTATCTGACAAATGGCTTTGGCCCACTCCCCTCAGGAAGTGGACCTAAGCATCAGTCAGACATCCTTAGCGCTGCCACAGAGGCAGGAGAGACTCCTGCCACCACTGCTGTGCTTGCCAGTCATGAGCCTGGCTTCTGGTTGAGTGGTGCTCCCCCTGTGGTAGCACACTGACTATCAGGGGGAAGCTCCTGTGTTGAACATCTTCCCCCTGGTGGTCAGTGTGCATCACAGTGACTGTTTGTTCTGCCATTCAGTTAATTTGCATATTAGCCTTTTACAATATTATCATAAAATATGCCCTTGGGCTGGAATATTCCAATTATATCCTTTAATGAAGTGTTTTCTGAGTAACCCTCCTACATGGGACACCATAGACACCTCTGGATTTCAGTCTTTTATTAAAGCAAAAAAGTCCTATTTCCTGGATCTATAAATCTTTCCTTTGTGGTTGATGCAAAGATAATGGCTTTTCCCTTTGGAGAATGATGTTTATGAATCCTTGCAGATGATGTGCTATTGAATAGTACACTTGAAACCTATATCATTTTGCAAATCAATGTCACTCCAAGAAAATCAATTAAAAAAACTAAAAGCAACAAATGAACAAATAAAAAACAAAAAATCTCAGAGACACAGTCCACAGTATGGTAGTTACTAGAGGGGATGGGGTTGGAGATAATAAAGGGTAAAAAGGGCAAATATATGGTAACTGAAGGAGATTTGACCTTGGATTATAGACACATAATTCAATAAACAGATCATATATCATAGAATTGTATTCTAGAAACTTATATAATTTCATTAAGCAATGCCACCCCAATAAATTGAAAATTTTCAAAGAACCTAAATTAATGAAGAGAGATACAATGATACAATGTTAATTCCCTCCAAAGTGACATGTTGATTTTATGTAATACCAATAAAAATCTCAGTAGAACTTTGTAGATACATAAAAAAGAATTATAAGGAAGAGCCAAGCAATTATGATACCTAAAATACTTTTAAAAAAGGATATATTTGGAAAAATAGTATATTAAGGCTTACTGTGAAGGAACACTAATTAGGATAATTTATAGGTTGTGGGATTTATAGATTTCCAAAGATCAATGGCATAGCAAAAAATTCAGAAATAAGACCACAGAAATAGGATCTTATCTAATAAAAGAGTAATATGCAAATTGACCATACATCTGCTATACCCAGAAGCCATGCCCACCAGCCAGGCCCACCAGCCAATCAGAGGGAGTATGCAAATTAACCCCAATCAAGATGGCTGCAGCCACAGAGAGCAGGAGAGAGGCTTGGGTTTCCCAGGCAATGGGAGAAGCCGCTTTCTGCCTGCCTTAGCCAGCCTAAGCCTCCACTCAAGGCTACAAAGTTTCAATTATAGAAGGTAAACAAATCCAAACAGAAATGGCCACAGCCACAGAGCAAGCAGAAGGCTTGGCTCTGCTCCAGGCCACAAAATTTCAATTGTAGAAGGTAAATAAATTCCAGATACTAGGGCCTCTGTTTGGGTCGCTGGGGGTGTGGCCAGCCTGCAAACCACCAAAGGCCCCTTTGCCTAGCTGCCCCATGCCCCAAGGGAACCCCCACCCTGATCCGGGACACCCTTCAGGGCAAACCAGCTGGCCCCCACCTGTGCCGCAGGCCTCTATCCTATCTAATAAAATAGTAATATGCAGATTGACCATCACTCCAACACACAAGATGGCTGCCCTCATGTGGTCAAATATCCTACCCCCATGTGGACATAAGATGGCCACCACAAGATGGCCAGCAGGGGAGGACAGTTGGGAGGCACCAGGCCTGAAAGGGAAGGCAGTTGGGGGTGATCAACCCTGCAGGGGAGGGCAGTTATGGGTGACCAGGCCTTCAGAGGAGGGAAGTTGGGGGCAAACAGGCTGGCAGGGGAGCAGTTAGACATCAATCAGGCTGGCATGGGAGTGGTTAGGGGTGATCAGGAAGGCAGGTAAGCGAGTAGTTAGGAGCCAGCAGTCCTGATTGTGAGAGGGATCCCAGATTGGAAGGGATGCAGGTTGGGCTGAGGGACACCACCACCCCCTCCCTCCTGTGCACAAATTTCAAAAGTAATTCAAAGTTGAAAGAGTTTTCCAAAAAAAGGTGTTAGAGCAACTCATCATCTATATGCAAGGAAATGAACCTAGACCTAAACTTTACACTTTTATCATAGATTAACTAAAAATGGATTATAGATCTCAGTGTAACATGTAAAACTAAAAATATTTGGAAGAAAATATAAAATAAAATATTCATGTTTTGGGATTAGGTATAGAGTTCTAGGAAGACAGCAAAGTTAGGCTCCATGAAGAAAATGTGATAAATTGGATTTCAAAATAAAAAGTGAAAGCCAAGCTACAAATTCCAAAACATATTTTTAAACAAATGACATAAATAAAGACTCTCAAAAAATTCAATAAGAAATAAATAATTCAGACTAAAAAAAAATGGACACAGGTCCTCAATAAATATTTCATCAAAGAGGATATAAAAATGGCAAATAGGCTAAGGTGACCAGATTTTAACATTGGTAAAGCAGGCCATCATTGACGCGGGGTGTGTTTGTGTGTGTGTGTGTGTTCTTGATTAAAAATTTGGTCTATATGAAGCACAAAAATTTTAATAGAAAGCAAAAGTAGTATTGTAATATATTTTTTAAAATTTCAACATAAGTAAAATTTCCAAATATAATAAATAAAAAAATTATGTATAGTATTATTTTATTCTTTGGCATATTTCTCATTTGAGTGAATTTTTTTTAGTAGATTGCTGTCATTGTTTAAAAGATCATGAAAATTTTCACAAGAATTTGTTAAATCATATTTCACACATAAAATGGCTTTCAAAGTCTCAACACTTAATTGTAATGTAAGTCGTTAAGTGTCACTTTCAAGGCCAGCGCTAGACTTTTTGCTGCCTCTATAAAATATAAATAATACAAGTACTGTCTGCTAAATTCAAGAAAATTTATGTATTTATGAAATAAATAAATAAATTACTTACCTAAATTATCTGAATAGCTGATTTGTAATGACATCACTTGTTTAACTAGCTTACTAGCACACAGTACAATGTGTATTGTCTGAGAGACAGTTACAAAATGCTTTCCTCTGTTGTGAACTTTGGTAAGTAGTTCTCGATAATCAGTTCTCAACAATTATTTGTTATTATTAAAGTTTAACATTATAAAATTAACAAAAATAATATAAAACTCATATCCTGGCTAAATAGCCACATGGCCGCCGAAAACAGTATATTCCCTTCCCGTTCTCCCGCTGTTCCCTAGCTTGTCGTGCAATCTTTCAAAAAATTGGGACTTTCTTAAAACACCGTGGGACGCAGGACAAATTGTTAAAAATCAGGACTGTCCCGCCAAAAACGGGATGTCTGGTAATTTTAAAATAAGCACATGAAAGATGGATAATGACATAATTATCCATTAACAAAATGCAGATTAGACAATGATTAGATAAAAGTACACATAGATTGGAAAAGTTAAAAAATTTAAAAGTCTTAACAATACCAAATTTTGGCAAAGATAAAGAGCAACTGTAATTCTTATACATTGCTGGTGCGAGTACTAAATAATACCATCACTCTGGAAAGCTGTTTGGCAGTTTCTGATAAAGTTAAACAAATATTTATAATACAGTAATCATACTCTGAGACATGAAGCTTATGTTTAAAAGGTATTCATATGTCTCACTAATAGAAAGGTGTAGAAGGCTGGTCAACCTTGAAGCTCTGAAAGGTCAGAGCCAACCATTCCATATCTAATTGAGACAATGGTAACTGAGGCAACTTCCCCATCTTGTAATCATGTAAATCCTTACTGATATGATAATCTGCTTATTACCTGCCTAAGGGCTATGGGTGTCTCCCAAACCTGCTTAAGGGTAATGGGTTATTTCACAGTCTCAATAAAAGGGATAGCTAGGCCAGAGCCTAGCAGCAGTCCTCCCACTAGAGGTGGGCTCCTGCCTGGCCCTCTATATCACCAAATTAAATTTCTTCTAGTGTCTCTTTAATTTGCATGTGGCCCTTCTCCAGAATCTGAAACTGAACCAGAACCCTGAACCACAGGGGATGTGAAAGGGGTTCCCCTATTCATAGAATTCAGTTTTACTTATACGCACCAAAGCCTGATAACAATGTGAATGTCCTTCAATTGGTATATTGGGTAACATTCAAACAATGAAAAGAAACATATAGCACAGATGAATCTTAAAGGCATTCTGTTCAGTACAAGTAGCTAATTTCTAAAGGTTATCTACTACATGATTCCATTTATATGATTTCTTAACAAAACAACAATAATGAAAGATTCTACTGGTTACCAGGGATGGAGGGATAACTACAAAGAAATAGCATGAGAGAGTGTTTTCTGTGTTGCTTAAATATATTAAAATTCATGGATATGTATATAAAAAAGTTAAATTTACTGTATAATTAAAAAATTCTGACTTACCCTAAAGTAGAAATAAAGGTGTTCTGACAGTGTCAAGTTATTAAACAATAAGTCACACTGTGGGCAGAAGCCCAATTTTTTTCGAATATCAGTTATGTTCTTTGAGGTGGTATATCCATTAACATAGACCTCTCCTCTGGTTGGAAGACAGCAACCTACAAATAAACATGATAGAAGCTGAGCTTTGGTGAACAAATATGATAAGACAATGAAAATTAGTATCTCAAATTCAGCCCACTTATGGATTACTCAAAAGAATGAGCACTGCAGTCAAAACCGGTTTGGCTCAGTGGATAGAGCCTCGATCTGTGGATTGAAGGGTCCCAGGTTCGATTCCAGTCAAGGGCATGTAAGTTGGTTGTGGGGTGTGCAGGAGGCAGCTGGTCCATGATTCTCTCTCATTGATGTTTCTATCTATCTATCTATCCCTCTCCCTTCCTCTCTGTGAAAAATCAATAAAATATATTAAAAAAAAGAAAAAAAAAGAATGAGCACTGTATCTCCTGCAGAAGAGCAGTTTAATAAAATACAGAGTTACACCTCGGTAGAAGAACTAGCTATTTTTTAACTTTCTTTCATTTCTGTTAATATATATTAATATTATATATCATTTAATTTCCTTTCCTTTTCTTTTTGCTAACATATACTCATTTGTTGTTAATATATACTAATTTGTTGCAATTGATATGTATTATATCAGTAATAATAACATTTAAATATTCTGTTATATTCCAATATATTTTCATTGAAACCAGCCAGCTACTATATTTGTGACCATTTAGGTACTGTGTAAATGCTATGGAAAACAAATATCTATAATATAAAATTTTTGTCCTTAAGAAATTTAAATATTAATAACAGCCAGTACAGATTTTGTGGGAAACTATTTGATAGTATGTAACATATAAATTATATAATCATTTACACCCTATAAATAATTTATTCTACTTAAAAATATATTCTTTTTGAAATTTAGATATAGTAGACATATAATGTTACATTCGTTTTGGTATACAACATGATTTAATATATGTGTATATTGTTAAATAATGACTTTATTTAGTATAGTATACAACCATTACCATACATAGTTAAGAATTGTTTTCTTTGATGCAAAATTTCAAGATTTTCTTTTTTAGAAACTTCCAAATATGCAATACTGTATTATTAACTATAGTCCCTAACATATTTATAACTATAAGTTTGTACCTTTGATCCCCTTCACCTGACTCTGGCAACCACCAATCTGCTCTCTTCATCTATGACTTCAATTAAAAAAAAAAATTAAATATATATGTGAGATCACATGATATTTGTCTTTCTCTGTCTGACTTATTTTGCTTAACATAATGCCCTCAAAATACATTAATGTTGTCACAAATGGCAAGATCTCCTTGTTTTTAATGGCTGAATTACACATATAAATTACATATAATTTTTTATATATATACATATACATATATATACATATATATATATATATATATATATATATATATATATATATATATATATATATATATATATATATATATATATATATATATATCATATGTCTACTTTGTCCATTTATCCACAATTGAGAACTTGTTTTCTAATACATTCCAATGTGATACTGTTGGTCAGAGAACCAGACTTGGAGAACCACCAAGTAAGGGTAAAGGTTAAATTGTTATGCAAAAGGAGTAAAACAAGACCAATTTGATATTCACAGGATAATCCAAAAGTGTACAATCCAGGTTGGTATGAAGATCAACTCCATGTTTTCTTTATCCATTCTTTCAGCAAAGGACACTTAGATTGCTCTCATGTCATGGTTATCCTATATAATAAAGAGGTAATATGCAAATTGACCATGACTCTAACACACAAGGTGGCCGCCTTTATGTGGTCCAAGATGGCTGCCCCCATGTGGACACAAGATGGCTGCCATAAGATAGCTGGCAGGGGAGAGCAGTTGGGAGGGACCAGGCCTGCAAGGAAGGGAAGTTGGGGAAAATCAGGCCTGCAAGGGAGGCAGTTGGGGGTAACCAGGCATGCAGGGGAGGGCAGTTGGGGGAGACCAGGCCAGCAGGGGAGGGAAGTTAAGGGTGACCAGTCTAGCCAGGGAGGGCAGTTACGTGTCGATCAGGCTGGTAAGGGAGGGAGTGGTTAGGGGGTGATCAGGTTGGCAGGCAGAAGTGGTTAGGGGAAGTCGGTGGGCAAGTAGGCGAGCAGTTGGAGAGAGTGCACGCTGGACTGAGAAACACACCCCTCCATGCATAAATTTCATGCACCGGACCTCTAGTCCTATCTAATAAAGAGGGAATATGCAAATTGACTATCACACCATCACAAAAATGGTGATATCCGAAGTGGAGGTGCGGTTTTGGTAACAAAAGATAGCTGCACTCACAGCAGAGGCCGAGTTTTCCTAATGAGTCTTAACAAGCGATCAGTAGGAACTTGAGCCTTCCCCTCCCCCTTCCCCCCTCCCCTGCCTGGTGGGGCTTGACTAGGGACCTGAGGCCATGCTTCACCCCCGCCCCCTGGTGCTGGGCCAGGGGCCCTCAGGCCATGCTGCCTGCCCTGGTGCCTGGTTGAGGGATCTCAGGTCGCCCCCCCACCCTGGTCCCAAGCCAGGGGACCTGAGGGTGCACGGTGGAACCTAAGGCTGTGCCCTCTGCCCAGTGAGGCTTTACAAGGATTGGGATGACCGGTATTGAACTTCACCCTATGGGGTTGGGGCTAGTTGAAGCTGGGTCTCCCGCGATTTTGAGGTGCTGCGGGTGGGCAGAGACTTGACTCTGAATTCCAAGGCTTGCCCCATACTCTGATGGGAGGAAGATTTTCATATACATTTTACTGATTATCTTTCATCTCTGACACTTCTATTATAGAGAAAAGGCAAATAGCAATATTAAAATATTTCCTCTAATTAATCCCCTTTAATTTTTTTTTAAAAAAATATATTTTATTGATTTTTTTACAGAGAGGAAAGGAGAGGGACAGAGAGTTAGAAACATCGATGAGAGAGAATCATCGATCTGCTGCCTCCTGCACAGCTCCTACTGGGGATGTGCCCGCAACCCAGGTACATGCCCTTGACTGGAATTGAACCCAGGACCTTTCAGTCTGCAGGCTGACATTCTATCCTCAGAGCCAAACCGGTTTTGGCTAATTAATCCCCTTTTAATGTGCAAAAATTTTGTACACTGGGCCAATAGTTGTAAATAATGCAGCCAAAAGAAATAAATCTAGCTCAAGATGGAAGATGGTGGAGTCAGTGGACAGTGTTCTCACCTTGTATCATGATCAAAACAAAATTATAACTAAATTATAGAATAGTTGTGGTGGTAGGAAAAATGGCAGCTGAATAGACAGACGGGTCCCAAGCCTTGTCCCAGAGCAGAACGAAAGAACAGCTGAGGAGATTGCATGGGGAATATTTGTTGGTGAGGTAAGGGACAGCCATACTCCAGGAGAAGGTGAGGGACTGCTGGACAGGGTTCTCATACCAGGCAGCCCCCACTGCTGCTGGGTCCCCTCCCAGAGCTACGGGCTCAGACGCAGAGACCACTCCATATTGAAGGAGAAAGTGGATGTTATCAGAAGCTTGGAAATCTATAACTATGGCAATTACCAATTATCAAACTGATTTTCAACATATTCTCATATCTACATAAACTAATTACTAAAATTCTGCAGCATACCCAAAGAATTACATTTTTTTTGCCAATATGATAAAAACTAAATAGAATTTGGTTTCATTCATACTGGAGAGCTTATTGTTGCATTACCTGTTATCATTTGTTAAAATTTAATAATCTTAGGAAAAAGAGGTCCATTCCCCTGACTAAATAGTAGGGTGTTGAAAACTCTAAAAGTTTTTTGTGGCACATCAGTGTATCTGTTGCAACACACCAGATACCAGTTGAAAATCACTGTTATAGAACAATAAACCTGAATAACCATCTAAAGACTATCTTAACTTAAGTCTTATAACTAAAGCTATAAAGAAGCCACATAAAGGCTGGAGAAAGGGCTGACCCACAAAATGGGCTTGTCCCACACCCATGTGTAGTGGTGGAGAATCTGGAGGGATATCTTAGCAAAATGGGTTTCCACTGTGAAGCAGGGGTCTTGGCTCTAAGCCTATCTCTAAGCCTGGAACACCAGTGCTGGGAAGAGGAGCCCATGTAACATCTGGCTGTGAAAACTAGCTGAGATTCCATTCATCTTGGAAAGACAGAAAGCTGCTGGAAATCTAGGCATCCTCTTGAAGAGCACGTACACAAACTTGCACTCACAGGCACTCACTATGGGCTTTAATGGATGCCAGAGACAAACAGGAAGAAACTGAGTTGTGTGGCTCTGAGGCAAGGGCTGCAGTGATGGCCACAATTTTCCCTGTGGTGAGCCCTACTTCCATACTGCCAGTGGGTGCCTCCTTTCTTGTGTGGAGCACTCATCCCGACATAACCAAATGTTAATCTCCATTAGCCTGGTGAATTCTGATATCTTCACCTTGATGAATCCCTGAGACCCCACCACCCAATTTTCCCATGGCCCAAGGCTCTTTGAGTGCCAACCAACCTGAGCCCTCACTGCAGTCTTTCTTTGAAAACTCTCAAGGAATTCCAGTCAAGCTTGTGGAGTGCCAGAGACACACAAGGAGAGGCTACATTGTATGATTTTAGGAAATGGGTTGGAGGGATGCCTGCCATTATTCCTGTGCACAGCCCTATTTTCTGTGTGGATGGATGCCCTTTCCCCTCAGTTTATCCCTCACCCAACACAGTTAAACATGACTCTGCATTAGCCTGGTTAACTCTACTAGGTCCACCCTGAAGACTTCCTGAGACCCTGCCCTACTGCAAAGTTCCTCAGGCTCCCAATCAAGTGGCCTCAATGTTCCCTGAAACTTTTTCTAAGTGACCTTTGGCTCAGTACTGGTGACAATTTGAATATGTATCAACTTGATGAGCACCAATCACTCCACTCTGGCAAATCCTACTTCACCCAACATATTTATGGCATGAGATACTTTAAGTGGCTGAGTCTTATAGCCAAACAATAGGTGGTGGCAGGCTTCAGGATGCCTTCTGTCTTTTGCTGATGTGCCCCAAGCCTAGTATTAGCGAAAGCTAGCCTTGGTTTGCAGCATGGCCTCTCC